ATTCAAATTGACATATATCCAAACACCAAAAGATAAAACATTGTACCCCGTTACATGTTAGACACCAAAAACCCAACCATCAGTGACCAAGCAAAAACCAGCAACGAAGCGTTGTCGTAGTGCATCAATATCAATACGAAATATCAAAAGGAAGTGTCACGGCACCTTGACATATTCTGACACATGCTTATTCATCTGTTTATTCATTTAATCGGTTAGTTATATCCATATTTACATATACAAGGAGCAAATAATGTAAAGAACTGAAATGACTTCGCCGTGATATACCCGCATTCTTCTGTTTAGGCAAGACTGCATTCTTGCCATTTAAGTACTGAAGTCAGCTTCCAAAAACTGTTATTAGTTGTACTCTAACAAAAAATGAAAAATTGAAGACTCGTATTAAAATGACGGGGTAATTAATGCAAAAGGAATTCAAAGCCTACATGTGAACAAAACAGTCACTTCTAGTTTTGTTACGATGCAAACGGGGAGAACAAATTCGCAAAACAAAATTGCAAACATTACAAAGCAAAGAACTTTCATAACGAATAACAAAACATCTGTTTCGATGGAGGGTCAGCCATCAAAAAATGTCTCTTCAAGAATACTCCATCACTACTAAGTGCACAAATACTCGCAGATCACCAAAGTTCCAAACAAGACTAGATATGAGACTGGAGAACTTAAGGAAAGAATCTAATGGACGACTGTACACAGTGAAGAATCTCTGTTAAGTTAGATAGTTGCGTAGGAAACTAGATGCAGCATAGCGTTCAAACATATGCAAGCAAATGCTCATGAGATTACAATTCTAAACTACCAAGAAAACCTGAAAAAGGCAAGACTTTATTGCGCCCAGAAGTATATATACATATATATATATATATATACGTACACCAGTTCACTAAATAGGAGGCAGTTTAACTAAAGAAACATTGCAAAAAAAATTATGCTTACTCCACACTTGGCAGTAAAGAAAGTCATTTTTCTTTGTCATCTATTGCACTACTTTCAGCGCGCTTAAAACAGCACCAAAACACTCAAGTTTATGTGCACAACAAATTGGTAACCTACAAAATGCAGACGCTCTCACGTTTCACTGTAAAAAAACGTAGGAGCTTTCTCGGCAAAATACGGTCGGTCGAATAACAGACCGATATTGGAATACCCCAACTTCAAACAATTTTTCGAGTCAGCCTTTTTAAAGAAAATTGTAAAGGCTAATGTGAGGATGGTAGTTGAACCTTTTTCTTGAGAAGTTTATTTGAGCTGTTTAAATTACATCCTTCTCATATGTAGCGGACTTTGTTTCAAAATTGATGTGAAATTTTTCGAGAACGAAATATCTTTCCCTATGGAAAAAAATTTCAGCGGCTTTGGCACAATGTCACTTTGTCATACGGAGGAACCTGCAGGTAGTCCTAGTCAATTCCATAAAAGTATGCTAAACTTCTAAGTCGCTTGTGTTTATGACTCGCCACCTACTGTATTTTGTTTAAAATGTTTTACCTCTTTAAGCCCACAATTTCTTCCTTTCATTTACTTTTCCAGTCATAATGTGAGAATAACTTTAATTCTTACACATAGTTTTGAGCAGTATAACTTTAATTGCTTTGTCAAACGTCTGTATACCGTAGTTGTTGTTTTGATCATTGTAATCTATGTCTAAAGCAGTTTAAAAAGATATTCAAAAAGACCAACTGTGAACGACAAGTTCCAGCAAGGGAGCAAGCGACTGTAAGAGGCCTAGTAACAGCCTGTATTTCTCCTATTATTTTATGGGCTTCTATCCCAACGAACCTGTCATTATTATCCGTTTTTTTACATCCCCTTAAACTACTTTAAACTCCTGCTACAATTACGGTATACGGACGTTTGACAAAGTAATTAAAGTTATACTGTTTAAAAGTATATGCAAGAACTAAAGTTACTCTCACATTTCGGTTGAGAAAAGAAATGAAAGCAAGAAATTGTCAACATAGAGACAAAACATTAACAAGCAGTACATAATAGGTAGCAAGTGATGAACACAAGTGGATTAAAAGTTTAGTTCATCATAAGGTGGTTCCCGTAACCTCCTGGCGACTTTATATGGCAGACTGGCATCTTGCCAAAGCCGCTTTCGCGTTTTCCATCAGAGAGAATTTCTTTCTCGGGAAATTCCACGCCAAATTAAAAACAAAATTCTTTATATATAAAGATTCAATCCAAAGATTAAAGATAAAATTCTCCTCATCCAACACTCCACATTAGCCTTTACAATTTTCTTCAGAAAGACTGACTTGAAAAATTGTTTGAGGTTGGTGTATTCTAACATCGGCCTGTTATTCGACCGATTGTATTTTCCCGAGGAAGCTTCTGCGTTTTTTTTTTTTTTTTTTACAGTAAAACGAGAGACGTTAGATTACCGTTTTTTGCATTTTATAGGTTACCGATTTTTTATATACACACACTTGGATGCTTTGGTGCTGTTTTAAGCGCGATGAAAGGAGTGCGATAGACGAAAGACAAAAATTAAGAAAAACATGGCTTTTCAAAATGCCGAACATGAAATAAATATGATTTTTTCTGCAATGTTTCTGTCGTTAAACCGCCGCCTATTTAGTAAAGTGGTGTACGTATATATATGTATATATAATTCTGAGCGCAACAAAGTCTCGCCTTTTTTCAAGTTTCCTTGATAGTTTGAAATTGTGATCTCGTCAGCATTTGCCTGTGTATGTTTGAACGTTGTGCTGCATCTAGTTTCCTACGCAACTGTCTAACTTAACAGAGATTCTTCACTGTGTACAGTCGTCCACTGGATTCTTTCCTTAAGTTCTCCAGTCTTAAATCTAGTTCTGTTTTGGAACTTTGGTGCCATTTAGGTTCCATTTTTAACGCAGCATTCACCTGTTAACGATCTTGGAACTTCCACTAATCTTTTTACCTAGGAGATGTAATTTTCACCTCTAAAAAGTGGAATAAAAATGATTAACGAAATGTCTTTGACATCTTAAACTTTAAACAAATTATTAGGAAACTGAAGACAAGCTTTGTGCCCTGCAAACCTTTGTGTATTTAGTA